AAATCTGAATTAAAAACTATAAGCTTTTTGGTTACAAAGCATGTATCAACTGTGGTGAAAGTACATGAAGTACTGTTTCATATAATAGGGAAAGTCCATATGGGTGTCATCTGCATAGTATGTGCACATTTACAAAAGTAGCAAACAGAACCTAAGATGTATTTTTCATTCCGCTGCATTTCAGTGTGTAAACATATTTTTTTCCTCCGCTCTAATTAAATACTTCTTCAACCCAAGTGTTTTGAATCAAACAATACCAAGAACGAATTGTTTTCCATTAGATAATGGAAAACACAATGTTTTTTGTTTGCCCAACAGCAGAAACTGTTATTTTTGTTTTTTTTCTGACTCCGCATAAGGTGAGAAAAAAAAAATGACAAGGATGGAAGAAAAAAAAAAATTTATATATATTTATATGCAAGTACTGCTCATCATATACTTAAACAACCCTCCTGGAGCTCCGTGACTATGGAATAACATAAGGCAGAAAATTATTTGGTACGTTTCAGAAGGAAGTAAATACATGCCTGAGGGGGTTCAGCGAGAAACGGGGGAAAAAAAAAAAAAAAAGTTCCTGCTGTGGAGGACAGTCCTGAGCGTGAGCTCCATCTGCACGCTGCTCATCTACACTCATTACACTGATTAATCAACTCAATACCACCCACTTCAGCCACACGCCAATCAGCGTTTATGCACATGGACGAGCTGAGCCCGATATTTGCAGTAGGCATGGAAAGGCTTTTATTTAGCGGCAACACAGAGATGAGGACTTAAACAGTCTGGTGATATTGCATCATAGCCTGATTTACGAATCTCATAAACTACGTTTATTACAGTTTGACTTTTGAGGCGATTTCTAGCGTCTGTCTGAGCCTGTCAGGCCGATTTCAGTCTTCAGTGTGACCCAATTGAAACTATTTCAAATAAGGTACAATATTTTGACTTGATTTGCCCCTTATTTGACAAATTACATTTGTTTTTTATTACAATCTAACATTTCCATGCCACATGTTGACACCCAGTAATAGTGACTAACATTAAATTACATATTTTATAAGCCACTTTTGGCTTCTTGAGGAGTGCCCAATAAATACTGTAGATCGCATTTTACCAGTAGACCAAACAAGTGTGGTTATTGGTTATGTGTTTTTGTTATGGGAAATCATGAGTATATTTCTGATAATCACATTATATTTTGTAATACTCTGTTGTCAACAACCAATCACGGGGGTGGTATTCAAAGGAGTTGAGATGAGCGTTGTCTCAGGTTGGTGGTAGATTGGAAGTTAGCATGTTGCGGCAGCTCGTAGTGAAGATGTTTGTATATTTGTGAAATTTATTGATGCCTGTTTTTGTTCCTTTTTTCCTTCATTCGTCATTTTGTTTGTGTTTTTGAACACCTGTGCACATTATGTAAATAAACATGCACTGTTATTATCTGGTTAATTCGGGTGGACGTGCCAAACGAGATCAGGATGGTGACGTCTCTCTGCCTCAGAAAAATAAATGCTGTCAGACACCATCATGTCCAATATGGACTTCCACTGTAAAGGTAAATACAGGGACTGGGTGATTGATCAGATATGACTCTCAACAATTGAACCTTGAACCCCTGGTATTATCCTTAGGTCATGCTACCAGCTGAAATGTTGGTAACACATACATTACTGCAAAAAAAAAAAAAATCAATGTCAATGTCTCCTTCCACTCCACAAACGTACCACGTTTAAACTTTGCTAGTGATCTGACATTGAAAGATGCAAGGAAAAAAAAATCAACTTGGATTGGTTTCAAATGGGGAGGCTCCATCATGGTCTGCGTTGTTCTTTTTCCTTTCATGGAACAACAGCATCAGGTTATGTAAGGACATCACACCTTGGCTGGCTAGGAGAAGATGTTGCAGCGGATAAATGTCCTGATGGAGGACCCACGTCTGTGCAGTGAATACTGTGTGGGTACTGCCAGAGAAAAGACTTTTTTCAAGGAGAAGTCATTCTTTTAACTGTCATGCTTGTTCCCCCCCGACTTATACACCAATGAGAATAATTAAGGCTGGATGGCACAGTTAAAATCAAAACAAAAAACTATTACATGACATTACGACATGCCGATATTTTGCACTCAATTTCCTATTCCGATATCAAATAGTTAAAATCAAAACAAAAAACTATTACGAACTTTTTGGAAAAAAATCCGACATGCCGATATTTTGCACTGAATTTCCTATTCCGATATCAAACGATATCGATGTATGCAGTCATTTTTCCCCGAAATTGCATTGCGTTATCAGAGAAAAACCCAATGAGGATTCTTACAGATATCACATGATTATTACAATATCAGGACAATAATATAGGTCAGACGATATTATCGAGATATACATATATATATACACTATGTATGTATATATACACAGTATATATAAATACATATATACATATATACATAAACATACATATATATGTATATCTCACTAATATATATATATACACTATGTATGTATATATATATACATATATACATATATATACATAAACACATATGTATATCTTGATAATATATATATATTATCGAGATATACATATATACATACACTATGTATATATATATATATATAAATACATATATACATAAATATACATACACACACATATATATGTATATCTCGATAATACATATATGTATATCTCGATAATATATATACATATACAGTATATATACTGTATTAATGTATTAATGTAAATGTATTATTTATCCATTTGTTTTGTTTTTTCAGTTTTAAGATTTTGTCCAGCTCTTTAGTTATTTAAGGTTCCTCTAGTGGACACAGTTCTGGTTCCGTATTTGTATCGGGTATATTTCATATATTTTAGATTGCTATGATCCACTTATCTCTGTGCAAACAAACAAACAAACGCATCAGACTTTTTGTAATCCAACCTCCCCTCCCTCCGTCGCTGACGGTCAGGTTATATCTTTACCGCAGATCAAAGAGCAGCAGCTGTGTTACGTGGGTAAATCATAATAATTAAATCCGTCCACAGCATTCTCATTATACAACACGTTATCTTCAGATCTGTAAATTCTGAAGTTTTCACTGTGTAACTTTATATTTTACAGTAAGTGATTAACACACCCAGGGTGCAGATGGTTTCAAGTATAAAAGACTTTTTGTTGTCCACAGGGTGTGACTGACTTTATCACGGCACTGATTTCCCCCCGCAAAATGTCACATTCTACGCTGATGAGTTACAGCGATAAGCTTCGAGTGTCACTTTTTATTTAACAACAGAGCTGTTAGACCGAACCACAGATGGTGTAAAAACAAAATTAAAAAAATACAGGACGGGAAACTTTTCTCTTCCACAAACTAAAACAAGGTCTGACAGCATACTTTATTTCCCTTTTCTCTATATCACCAACCAATTAAAGGCTATCAGTACTGTTGTAACAGTATTGCAGGGCTGCTGCATTTAAATATATATTGCCCCACTATCTCCTATTAGTGTCCAGGACTAAAACCTGTGGGGGTAGTCTGTTGATATATCATGAGAGAAAGGTGCATCAAAATAAAGGCAACGCTTCAAAATAGTTTTTTTTTTCCCACAATAAGAAACCTTTCTGGGCTTTAAGGCTCCACTTGGCTGATACCCAAAGCTGAGCACAGACAGAAAAACAATATATATGAAAAAAGTGGATGTGAAGCCGCTTCTCCCAGTGGATAATTCACCTCACATGCACCTTCTGTGGCTTTCAATTAGGTAAAAAATAAATAAAATAAAACGTGAGGACAAACAGAGTAGCCTTTAAGAGGCTCATCAATCACCGCTTAAACAAAAAACAAGAAATGGAAGGTGGAGCCGAAGCAACGCTGCCAACGATTCGTCCTTCATCTTCTTTTATACGTGAGTCAAAGTGATGGAAGTCTGTTTAATTACGACGGCAGTGAGGAGACACGAAAACAAATCGACCACAATTAAAACTGGGATTCCACTGATGACAAACAACAAAGGGTAGAAAAGAAATAAGCACATTTTTATAACTAATAGTAACCAAATTTTGTACTCTTTTTTCAAAATGCGGTTTTAATAAAAGTATTAGCGGTATAAATGTAACCGTTATTAAGTAACCACTGAATACGTCCAGTATACAATATGCCAGGCAACACCAGGGAAGTGAAACAATTAGCTGTAGCACAACAAGTAAACGAATTAGCCTCTCTAGCATGGTCATAATTAGCATGATGTCTGCCATTGTTGCTATTATGTGATGTTACGCAGGGGTGGTTAGGGTAAAATGTTACAGAGTCGGGGCTGACCGCATGAGCTCACCCAGGTCCTTTCACATGGAGAAGCAGAAGCAGAAGTCTACAAATATTCCACTCTGGAACCACTGGGTCCAATACTCTTAGCATCTAAACCAAGCATGGGCAAACTAAGGACCGGGGGCCATATGCGGCCCATTCAGCTTTTTAATCAGGCCCGCCAAACTTTTCCAAATTACATAATTTATTTATATTATCATTATAGTTCTGCCTTTTCCCTGCAATACCCATGTTTTACCAACAGATGGTGTTCTCCTGTTCCTGACCCAGCCCTCCTGTTCAATTTTAGGGACAATTTTGGCCCATGAGTCAAAAAATGTTTGCCCACTCCTGGTCTAAACAGAGAGCCGAATCGGCACTATTGCTCAGGGATCTGTAGTTGTATTACCGCCATTTAAACGTGGCCTGAGTGTCTTGAGGTGAACCGGCATGGTCAGTTCAAACATGGTAAAATTCTCCATTAGCCAAAGGCCAAAAATGAAAGGCTAGCTTCGGTGGAGTTTTTCACGATAAAACGGTAGAGAAAATTGACTCTTATTTTTCTAAAACATATTTCCAAGACACCCAAGTGACAAAAAGAAAGTTTGTCTCCCTGCCTGTTTGTGGTTCTGTGTGAGAAAAGAGAGAGAAAAAAAAAAAAAAAACTTTCAACAGCCGTCACGAAAAGCAGTCTTACCTGGATGAGTGATTCGCTCAGTCGCTCTTCGTCCACCTCCAGCACAATGTCCCGGATCTCTTCATAAGGCAGGCGGAAAGAGCCGAGGAAAATTGCTGTTGTGATGGAGAGAGAGGAGAGTTATTTCGTCTACAACCTCTTATTTTTTTTCTGTTTTTTATTAGACTGCGGGGTTCAAAGAGACATTTCTGCAAAGAGACATTTCGGCGCTCATCGCTCCTCCAACAAAATGACCACAGACCCAGACTTGTCACCTGGAAAAACTAATAACATTCTCTGGCCCTCAACAAGACGCTCCATGTCATGTGGACTAGAAAAGGGTATTGGACACGTTGCCATTAAACCCCCGAGAGTGAAAAGGTGGAGGAGTAACGGCATTTTTATTCAATTCATGATGAAATGTTAACTAAAAAGGATAATAATCAGTGGTTCTTAATTGCTGAGATTTACGTAGATGTATAGATGATGGGACAAAATGTCTTTGTCCCATAAGACAGGGGTGTCAAACTCATTTTCACCAGGGGGCCACATCATCAACACAGTTCCCCTTAAAGGGCTAGTTGTAAATGGAAGACCGTATTGACGTTTTGTAACTACTCCATAATGTATTAATAAATGTTTTTGCAACTGATTATTATTTATTCAAGTAACAAATATTTTTCATTGCTGTATAACGATCCTGCATAGACTTAGTAAGATGCTTTTTAAGCTCCAGCGGACCATACGAAATGACTTGGCTGGCCGCATTTGGGCCACGGGGCCTTGAGTTTGACACACCGAAATTCATCCAAAATTCATCCAAATATCCAAAAAAAAGGTCAAATTACATTAATTCATTTAAGATTAATCAGATTAAAATTTCCAGTCCAAGAGCAGAATAAGTCCATGTCAAAGAGAGAGCCCAAAGAGAGTGCTGGTGGCGCATGGGCAGAAAAAAATAATATATATATATATATATATATATATATATATATATATATATACTGTATATATATATATGTATATATATATAT